CACACACACACACACACACACACACACACACACACACACACACACACACACACGTGCGCGGCCGAGCGCACACAAAAACGAGCACACCTGAACACGCGGCGTGTCTCCTCGCTGGCCGCTGTGTACTTCTCAAAGTTTGGCTTGACAAACACCAGCTGGGGGCACAGCTTCAGGGCCACAAAGCCGGGCATGGCGCTGCGCACCCCGTAGGGGCGAGCCTGCACGGCGGCGAGGGGTCGGGGTGCAGGTGCCTGGGTGTCAAGGACAATGCAACGTTTTGACCTCCAGATACAAATAGGGTGTAAGTTCTGATGGCCGCATGGCGTTCTATGACACAGCGTTCAGGCCATCCCCTGTGTCCCTTGACAGCACTCGCACTGACGCACACAGGATCGCGGCATCGGCCCCTCGCCCGCCCCCCTCACCATGTAGTTGGCGGTGGTGATCATGCCCGTGCCGCCGACCGCCATGGGCACCTCCCTGAGGCCGGGGTCATCCCTCTCCTCCACAGCCGCGTAGAACGCGTCCATGTCGCAGTGCAGCCAGGTGCGGCCAAGGTCACGCCGCGCCTCAAGCGCGGCCACGCGCGCGTCGACAGCCCTGGCAGGGCCAGGACATTTGCGCGGATGGAGCGTGGGGTGTGTGTATGTGAAACAACTGGCAGGAGCAGCTTCTGCAATTGGCCTAAGCAGCAATGGGCCGTCTGGCCATTGCCAGTGCCGACACATGCTCTCGTTCACGCACCGAGTGTGGGCGGCCAGCTCTGCTGGGCCCAGGGCGGCCGCTCTCTGCCTGAGGCGCGCTATCTTCTCGTCGACGGCCGCCTGCTTGCGCTGCTCATTTTTGAAGTGGGCGCTGTCCTGCGGGCCGAGGACGGGAGGGCGGGGCCCAGTGGGGTGTGAGCAGCAGGGATCTTGCATCAAACAGGAAAGTGCTAAGCAGAGGGGGCCTGGGGTATTTTGTGGAAGCGTGGCAGGCAGGCGGTCTGTGGCTGGACACGCACAGAGTCGTGGTGCCATCTGGCAGCGGCCTGCTGCCGTGGACCCCACCTTGCTCATCTCGTAGACAACCTGCAGCACAATGAGGGACGGGCACCCGCGTAGCAGGTTCACGTTGTCATTTGCACACTCCAGGCGACCAACGGCCTCTGCTACTGAGAAACAGCTTGCTGCAGGGACCTTTGGTCCTGGCAATCAAGCAGGCATGGCCGGGCAAGGCGCGCGAGCCCCAGCCCCGCCGTCCCCACCTTCTTGACGCGGTCCTTGTCAACACCCTGCATGCCCGCCTTGGCTGCGGTAAACACGCTGCTGTAGTCCCGCCATGCCTCGCGCTTCTCAGGGGACACCGCGGGCGGCAACGCCGCCGCTGCGGCTGCGGTACTGTGCACCTCCCTGCCAACACTGCTGACGCTGGCTGCAGGAACGGGCCCCAGTACCGCCGCCCTGCAGTTTGGCAAAATGTCTATGTCCAGCCCATGCTGAGTTTCAGGCTGCCCGTATGGCGTCGCTGCGCTGGGCATTGTGGCAGCAGCAGTGGCATTGTCGGGCAGCACGCGCAGCGCGGGCGCGTGCTGCTCCAGACCAGATGCAACTGGAGGGCTTGCAGCGCGACTTAAATTTTGTAGCGATGATTGCATGCTGGCCGCATACATCATATGTACCGCAGCATCCCTTGCCACGATGAAGCGCGCTGTATCAGATCAAATTACTGTACGCAACTTGCGAGATTCGTGACGGTGATGTAGATAGAATAGATTCGCTTGGCTGCAGGGTGGATACAGGGTGCTTGCTGAAGCAGAACGCCAGCTGATAACAGTCATGTCGCATTTGGATGATGGCAACAGGAGTAGAGTAGAG